TGTCAATAATGATTTATTTTTTAGAATGCAACGTATCCATCAATAAAGAATGATCGCGATAATTGTTGAACTATTCGCATAGAGGTAGCTACATAGCAGGAACAACAGGAAGGGAAGATGCTGGTTCCGCTGTTTTCGTTACATTGCCCCCCATTGAGACTCGAGCCTCCTTGCCTAGTAAATTCGTGGATGGTCATTGGTAAGCGGCAAGGCTTCGTTAACCGCCCTCGTCGTGCGCATTCCAGACAGGTCACCTCACATGGTATGACCGGCAGCTCTTTCTGAAGAGCTCCGTGATTAAACAACGACTCAGCTGCACCCGTATCACCGACGAGTAGCACTAGGCGTTTCTGCAAAAAAACAAAACAATGTAAGCTCTGGACGCCTAGGGTACCAAATTTGCACATACCTTTGTTAGGAGGTGATGTGTAGTTGGTTGGTTGTTGGTTCCGGTTGTTGTTTTCGTTACAATAGTATAGACCCTACCTTTTGTTTTGCTCAGAGAGAGTAAGACTGCTGAGAGTGTCAGCCGAACGCCGAACCTCATGTGCATGTGCAGAGTGTGCCTCGCTCTCACTTATTGCTTTGTGCACATGTCTTATTATTAGCGACAGATTTTCTATGGCTTTGATTGATGACGTGATAGATAGACTGGGGGGAATAATCTGTTCACAAATGAGATTTAAAAAATTGATTTTTTCTTATCTCAATTGAGCCTACATCTAGGATATGGATAGTACGAATTTTTCCATGTGCCTTTTGGAATTACGAACTCACCGGCTGTATTTTGTGGTTACATCAATGCAGCTTTGAGGGATCTAATTCAAAGTGGCAAGATAACAACTAACATGGCTGACATAGCTTTCAAAAGTTGTTTGGAAGTGGCAAGAGACGATAAATTTTTGGACACTATATTTAAAATGGAAGCATTACGTCATAAAAAGATAAGATACACGCAGTTCAAAAGTTTCCTATTCCTAAAACAGTAAAAGAACTTCAAAGACTCTTGGGACTCACTTCAAACCTCAGACGATTTATAACGGGATATGCCTTTGTAGGTAAGAAACTAACTGACATTCGAAAAAAAGGATCACAAAAATTGATTGTAAAAATATATCCTAGAGACGAGCAAATAATAGTTTTCCAGCAGTTAAAACTATTGTTAGTTAGACCTCCAGTCATAAAAATTGTTTAAGCCGAAGGCTTTATCAAAAGTACATAAAGATGTTTTAAAACACGGGTACAGTGCAGTACTAATGCAAAGATTCTGAAGATTAGCAGTTTCCAATAGTTTCCAATAGAATATATGAGCAGGAAAACTACAACAGCAGAAGAAGGATGTTCATCATATTAGCTTAAGACTCTTACCATTGTAGCCAGCTCGCTCTATAAGCTCATTTGCTTTAGCAGAAATATGGAAACAAAAATAGTTTCCCCAATAGGATGGAATATGCCACACCACTCTGAAGGCCCTACCAATGCGCGCGCTCCTTTTTATAACGTTGATCTTCAACGCCATATTAAGAACGCAACACTTCCCTGCCCAGTGGAAGTTAGCGAGGATCCATATGATCCATAAGTCGAGCAAGCCGGAATATGACCCTGAGTCATATCGGCCGATCAGTCTCCTGCCTTCCTTGTCGAAGGTCTGGGAAAGACTGATTGTCGCCCGACTTTCAAGGCTTATGGATCACATGGCCATCCTTCCTGATCACCAATTTGGATTCAGGGGAGGGCATGGCGCTGTTGAACAGGTTCACAGAGTGATTAACTATATTCTTAAGGCTTACGACGACAAAGATTACTGCTATGGAGTCTTTTTAGACGTTAAGCAGGCCTTCGACCGAGGTTGGATTAATAGATTGCTCCAGAAAATCAAGATGAGTCTTCCCACCCCCTTTCTACTTCTGCGCTCTTATCTAATGGAGCGAAAGTTCGAAGTCAAAGTTAGAGTAGCAATCTCTCCTGCCCGCAAAATGAAGACGGGTGTCCCCCAAGGCAGCGTACTGGGCCCTTTTTCCCTACAACTTGTACACGGCAGACATCCCCACTGCGGATGAACTACACGAGTTTGTCACCCCAGGCAAATACTTGATGGCCACATTTGCCGATGACGTGGCAATATTTTACTCCGCCCACTGCGAGTATGAAGGCACTGACGGTGCCCAAGAATACATCGACTTGCTTGATGCCTCGAATTGCCAGGCGGTCAACTACACACTGAAGCGTGACAAGGCTTTAGCAGTCTGGATAGACGGTAGCCCCCTTCACCCTAGCAGAAGTATCTTGGAATTGTACTGGATAAGAGGCTTAGTTTTCGACGGCCTTCTTAAGCAGTGCCGCTATAAGATGGCCAAGGCCAACTCGCTACTAAACCCCAACAGCCCATTGCCACTTCGCTGCAAACGGGCAGCTTACAACGTCGTGGTGGCACCAACTTGGAGATACGGTATTCAGGTTTGGGGCATTGCATCTCGGACAAACCGAAGACGGATTCAGACATTCCAAAACTTGGCCTTGCACCGAATTACCGGTGCTGACTGGTACGTAAGAAATTCTACCTTGCACAGAGACCTCAAAATGGAGACCATAGACAGCCAAGTCGGAGCATTCGCCAACCGGTACAACGAACGTTTGACGTTTGACCTTTGACGTTTGTCCACGATAAATCCTGAGGACCCAACCAGGCTTGGCGTAATATCACCTAAGTCAACTGTGTTGTAATAAAAATGTATGCTATTTTTGATTCAATACAATGAACAATAAACAAATACAAATACAAATAAATTATGGTTTAAATTGGTGTTAAGTTCAAATTGGATTATTTGTTTAAGTTAAAGCTATGGGGTGGCGGCGGGAGGGTGGCGATATCTATAAAATGAAAGATACTTGATCTGTTCACTCTAGCCCTCAAAACCTCAAGAAACAGGATTTCGATATCGATTTTTATCGATTACTTTGAAACGGTGCAAGTTATCGATTGTCTTAAACAAACTCGTACTGTGCGTGAGTCACCACAACCCCATCTGTGAAACCGCTTAGAACGCCCCCATCTGCTCGAACCATTTGAGCAACTCGATCAGTGAACCAGATTTGACACAAGCATCCGGCCCTGAACGAGTCAACACCCACATATGATAGATCAGCAAATTAAAAGACGCCCACACAACAATAGTACAACAATGTTAGGACGGCATTTAGGGCACTTTAAACTTTTCAAAATAAATTTGTTACGGAACTGTTTGTTTCTCTTTGGGCCGCGCCGGCTTTCTCATCGGTTCTCTGGGTGAATATTATATTAACGATATTAACAAGGCTACAACGTCTGTAGCAAAGCACAACACTATTCAATATGAACCACATAATCGATAACATCAAACAGGCGGAACTATTAACAAATGAACAACACTAACAGCTGTAACAACTAGAAAATGTAAAGAACAAAGGTGTGAAGCTCAATATAAATTAACAAAAAAACACTATTCATCCACTTTATTCTTCCGGATCCTCTCCCGGTTCCGGACCCAGCGTACCCGCCATACTTGAGATGATCACCTGATCTCGGCTTCCTCATTTTGGCCACTAGATGGCCCGCATCAGCCCGAGTCAGCTGTCCTGCCCCCTCACCCTATCACTTGATATTTAGCCGGACATTGTTTTCCTTCAATATGAGCGTATAATTGGTTGCATTCCTTAAAATTATTAACAATTAATATTATTTTTTATCGCATGTATCTTTGCAGCTATTTACGATTTCGGGCAAGCTGGCATTTGTCTTCAACTCGTCAACAGGTGCGTATAATTATTCGCATATTCTTATAATTATGGACAATGTGTATTAATTTCTAAAATTTCATTTATAGCAGAACAACACCAAAGAAAAGACGTCACCGAAAGTTATGGCTAATTGCCGGCGGGAACAACGTTGGAGAACAAATTTATAATTCTTAATTGAGCGATTGGCTCCCCCCAGACATTCATGCCGTATATACGCATGTATAACCACGCTGAAAAAATGGCATGTTGTAAAAATTCTTATATATAAAATATTTATATGAATTAAATCCGTAATTATGAGGTCTCTGGGTTGCTAAGGGCGATGTTCACACATAAACAAGTGACACCGAGTCTCACTTAGACCCTCGGTAAAAATATGTCTTACACCATATTGTCCAACTGCAGCCATCAGCATAACGAGAAAGAAGGGCTATTTTCGGCAAGCCGAAGATTTAATAAGCTTGCAGACCCAACCTTTTCATAGTGCTCATGGTGGTTTGCCCGTATCTAAGAAGCATAGTGAGAATAGTTAATGCCGAATATGGTCAAGATATCTTGAAAAACAAAAAAGTTTTCCATATACCAACTTAATTTTTGACTGCTCGTTCCTATGGCAGCTATATGATATAGTAGTCCGATCTTAAAAGGATTCTGCATGTACATATATGAGGAGCATAAAAAACAAATAAATGCCGAGTTTGGTCAAGATATCTTGAAAAACAAAAAAGTTTTCCATACAACAACTTAACTTTCGACCGATCGTTCCTATGGCAGCTATATGATATAGTGGTCCGATCCAGCTGGTTTAGACATATGAACTGCGTGCAGCAGAAAGAGGGACGTCTGCAAAGTTTCATAAAGATAGCTTTAAAACTGAGAGACTAGAAACAGACAGACGGACAGACGGACATGGCTATATCGACTCGGCTGTTGATACTGATCATGAATATAAATACTTTATGGGGTCGGAGATGTCTCCTTCTATGCGTTACACATTTCACGACAAAACTATAATTTCCTCTGCAAGGGTAAAAAAATAGATAGCGCATTTGTGGTCGCTTAAGATTCTAAGAGCGCCCTACGCTTAAAAATGTCATATTAGAAAAAATACCCGAAATAAACACAATAGTTTATGACCGCTGCTGCCGATAATACATTGACAGTAGGCCTAAAATAAGACACTCTGTTAGTATATATCTTACAAGTTCTCACATTGAACAGATCCGTTCATTTGGTCCTTCGGGCAGTGCCGGCATTTCGGGTCGCTTGTTTGTTCGAGAACCACTAAATTTCGAGCAGTGCCGGCATTTCGGCACTCCGAACCACGAAACTTTCGAGCGGTGCAGCCAAGAGCAGCACGCCGAACCATAAAATTTCGAGCGGTGCAGCCAAGAGCAGCACGCCGAACCAAAAAACTATCGGCGGTACAGACAAGAGCAGCGCGCCGAACAGAAGACCAGACAGCAAAGGAGAGCGACAGCCAATGCTAGAAAGTGACCAAGGCCCATCCAGAGGGCAAACTCTTCAAGAAGAACTCCTCCCACGACCCACACCAGCGGAGCTTCTAGACGTGACGCCTGAAAAGCATGGAGGAGCCCAAGCATCTGGACAAGGAGAAATGAGTAGCGCTTACCCACAAGCGCTACGGAAAATCATCGCAGAAGAGCCGCAAGCAGGACCGAAGCCCTTGTCAATGACATCGTGGCTAAAAATATGTATGCAAACAAAATATAATAAATTTGTATTTAAATAAAAAAAAAGTAAAATAAATACAAATGTCGAAAGCCAAACAATGAGCAAAAAAATATAAATCCTAGATCATGGATAAGAGACAAGAGGGCATATGAGATGGATAAGCAGATAGAGGAGCTAAACAAATATTTAGAGGAAACGCAGGTGGACATTAGGGAAAACAATAGGGAAATGTTTAGGTTGAGAAAAAGAAAGATAGTATTTCTTTGAGAAGAAAAACAATTATTTAAAGAAAAGAAATATCCAACTTGTATGGATATTCTAAGGATATTCTTTGCCGAGTTGTTTACAGAGTTGGTTCAATCAAGAGAGGATTTGAGTCCAGCTCTTAAATTTAACTATTTAAGAACGGCATTAAAAGTAGAAGCAATATGCATGGTGTCGCATTTGCTAAAAGGCTCCTCAAAAAATTTCAACTCGACTTGGGTATTATTAACCAAGCGTTATGAAAACAAACGGAAAATATTTTCCAAACAATTAAATCGGCATATAGAGTTGCCAGTACTGAACAGTGATTCAGCAGAGTACATTAAAGCATTTATTGATTCAATTGATGAATCAATACAATTAATAAAATTGAAAACGGTCTTATCAGAAGACGTTGATGTAATTTTTGCACACATGATTATTTGCAAGTTTAATAGAGAAACTTTGCAATCATATGAAAATCATGTGAAAAGACCAAAAATTGTCCGGCGTAATGGAGTATTTAGAGCAAAGGTTGAGTGCTCTATGCTCATTGAAGGACGAGGAGAAAAAACCGAAAGTCAATGAGGACTTTTCGGAAAATGGCCCAGTTTGCAAAGTAGCCGGGCATTATAAAGATTTGGTGAAATGGAGTTTAAAGAAGTTGCAAAAACAGAAATCTGCGAGCAAATTGTTATTGAATCAACAAAAGAATTAGATGGAAGGGATACAGTAACCATTCCGTTTAAGGATGAAAAAGAGTTGGGAGAATCAAGACCACAGGAGATGACACGCTTTCTACACTCAGAAAATAAATGCAGAAGAAATACACAGCTTAAGCAAAGTTATAGAAATTTCTTAGGAGAGTATGTGATCCTAGGAAATAACATCGAGTCCAACAAAAATGATACTAATTTCGTAGGTGCGTCAAGGAAGCTAGATCAAGATTTCCTAAAAGGTGATAAAAACTAAACATTATTTAAAGAAATAAGAATCCTGAGATGGTTACAGACTAGCATAAAGCTTGGAATACAGCTGCATGGATTCATGCATGCATCAGAGAAAAAGCATACACAAGCGTGGTATATGATAGAGGACAGGAAAATAAAGTCAGGATAGTAAAGATAAAATTACAGGATGGAAATTCCACAAGAACAGTTACCAAAGTGTGCTCGCTTATTAGCATACAGGCACACGACAAAAAAGAACATGTAGAAAATACTGAGTAAAATAAAGTAATAGCTGTTGAAGAAAACGAAAAAATCCAGTAGGATAACATTATCCCGCCGGCAGGACCTCACTTCGGAGGTATTTGTGTTGCTGGAGTCAAGTCAGTAAAATATCATCTGAAAAGAGTGATACGCAACTTAGATAGATGTCAACTGATTATCAGTTAACATCTACAAAGAGAGGGAGAGTGTGTAGCTTTTATATGCCTGTGTTAGGGAGCATATATATGTTGCTAATGAAATGCGCTCAGAAGGAGCGTGGGATATGCAGCGTAAGCATAAACGGTCAGCTAGTGAAGCTAGTGAACCGCGCTACGTAATATGAGCCAGAGCCAATACATAAAGTGACTCTGGGCTTGTTAAATGTATAATTGTTATTGTATGCAACAAAGTGCCGCATACTTTATATTTAAATACAGGGAGTTCTGTTAAGGCATATTCACACTACACCTCCCTTTTTAGAAAAATGACGTAATATTCTATTGAGTTATTTAAAGAGTAGTGTATATATTGTTCGTATATATTATTGTTATTGTATGCAACAAAGTGCCGCATACTTTATATTTAAATACAGGGAGTTCTGTTAAGGCATATTCACACTACACCTCCCTTTTTAGAAAAATGACGTAATATTCTATTGAGTTATTTAAAGAGTAGTGTATATATTGTTCGTATATATTATTAATATTATTATATACATATATATAATTTTTTTTTGTTTAAAATGTAGTGTAAATAAAAAACTTTTTTTTATTATTTTTTGTATTTTCATAAATAAATATATTAGTTGTATAGGAAAAATATTATGTTTTTTTTTGTTATTAATATTATTATTATTTTTGTTGTTGTAAGTTTTGTTTTTCGCAAAAGGTATTCATTATTTTCTCTTTTTATACCCTTGCAGAGGGTATTATAATTTTGTCGTGAAATGTGTAACGCATAGAAGGAGACATCTCCGACCCCATAAAGTATTTATATTCATGATCACTATCATCAGCCGAGTCAATATAGCCATGTCCGTCTGTCCGGCTGTCCGTCTGTCTGTTTCTATGCGAACTAGTCTCTCAGTTTTAAAGCTATCTTTATGAAACTTTGCAGAAGTGCCTCTTTCTGTTGCACGCAGTACATATGTCAAAACCAGCTGGATCAAACCACTATATCATATAGATGCCATAGGAATGATGGTCGAAAAGTAGGTTCTGGTATGAAAAACATTTTTGTTTCTTAAGATATCTTGATCAAACACGGCATTTATTAGTTTTACTATGCTGCTCATATATATGCAAAACCCTATCACTATCGGACCACAATATCAAAATCTTATTTACATCGGACAGTAGTCCGATAGTAGTAGTAGTCAGCTGTCATATAGCTGCCATAGGAACGATCGGTCGAAAATTAAGTTGTTGTGTGGAAAACTATTTTGTTTTTCAAGAAAAGGGACACATCCTCCTCCATCGGTCGGAGATGCTATTAGAAAATTGTGTATTCTAACTAGGCTTTTAGCGTTTAATTTTCAACATGTATGTATAATGTATTGAATAATTAGGACGACACTCGTTTTGTCGACCATTCATAAAATAAAATAAAAAAAAATCTCAGCCATACTCGGCATTAACTATGTGCTTCTTAAATACGGGCAAATCACTATGAGCATTATGAAAAGGTTGGGTCTGCAAGGGTATTAAATCTTCGGCGTGCCGAAGATAGCCTTTCTTTCTCGTCTTTCTTTTTTTAATGTATTAAATTTTATTTATTGGTTGATCAGACCATTTTCATGAAAATTTTTAATTATACTTTTTTAACCTATCCTTGTGTACTCTCTGTTCTTTTCTGTTTGCTATCTTTAATTAAAATATTATCATTAACTTTTATTGTTTCTACTGTGTATGGTCCTAAATATACTGGATCTAACTTATGACCTCCTTCGTTTCTTAGCAATACTTTATCTTCTATTTTTAAGTCAAAATCTGAAGTCTTCTTATCTTAGTTAAGTTTTCTATAGGCCTTAGCTTTTTCTAACATATGTCTAGCTCATTAATATGCTATTTCTAATCTAAATTTTATTTCTTTCGAATAATTGTCTATATTATAAATCGGAT